CTGCTGCTGCTGCTGCTGCTGCTGCTGCACCCGTTGCTGCAGCTGCAAGCTGCCCCGTGGGGGGCCCCTCAGCGGCTGGGCGCGCAGCACGGTGCCCCGTGAGGGCTTCGACAGCTGCAGCAGCAGCAGCAGCAGCAGCAGCAGCAGCAGCAACAGCAACAACAAAGAGCCACGCTGCTTCCCTAAACTCAATTGCTGCTGCTTAGAGTTGTGGGGGTTTAGGCCTGCGGCTGTGTAGCTAGACCCTAGACCCTAAACCCTAAACCCTAAACCCTAAACCCTAAACCCTAAGACCTTAACCCTAGACTCTAACCCCTAAGCCCTAAACCCTCACCCAGGTTTACTTGTCGCGGTGCTTCAGTTTCGGGAGGCAGGCTCCTGGACTGCAAAAAGCCATCGCTTTGCTGCTGTTGCTGCTGCTGTTGTGGCTGCAGCAGCAGCAGTTGCTGCTGCTGCTGCGGTGGTTGCTGCGTGTCTTCAACTCGTCGCTGGTCAAGCTCCTGCGGCTGCTGCTGCTGCAGGAGCAGCAGTCCCGCTTGCTCTTGTGTTTGCTGCTGCAGCAGATGCTGCTGCTGCGGCTGCTGCTGCTGGTACTGCTGCCGCTGCTGCTGCTGCTGCTGCGTCAGAGAGACAAGAGAGTCTATTAGCTGCAGAGCATCCGCAAGCGACAAGTCTCTGCTGCTGTAGCTTTCTCTACAAAGCCTAGGGGACCCCACTAGGGGTGGCCCCTGGGGGGCCCCCTGGGGGCCCCCCAGGGGGGCCCCTGGGGGCCCCTTAGGATTCCGGTCCTCTGCCCTGCTTCTGCTATTTGTATCCGTTGCTGCGGTAGTAGCAGCATCAGCAGCTGCAGCAGCAGCAGCAAACAAGCAGCATACGGACACAACGGGCCCCACACAGTAAGCAAAGAGGTCCTCAGCCCAACAGGGGGCCCCTACGAGTCTGGGGGCCCCCAGGGGGCCCCCAGGGGGCCCCTAGAGAGCCTCTAGAGGGCCCCTAAGTGCCCCCAGGGGGCCCTAGGGGCCCCTCGGTGAAAGTCTACAGGACTCTGGGGGGCCCAAATAGGTGACTATTTGATAATTTAAACGGCATTTAAATTAACAATTAATTAATTAATTAATTAATTAGTTAATTAGCTGATTAATTTATTTAAATTAATTAATTAATCAATTAATTAATTTATTTATTTAAATTAATTAATTAATCAATTAATTAATTAGTTTAATTAATTAATAATTAATTAAATCAGGGACGCAGGCAGCAGCAGCAGGCACTTACCCACTGAGGGGGTACCACAGGGGGTTTTCTCCTGCTGGGGGGCCCCCAGGGGGCCCCTCAAAGTAATATCTTGGGGGGCCCCCTGGGGGGCCCCCCCGGCGTCTGCGTGAAGCCCTTCTGGGGGGCCCCCTTGGGGGGCCCCCTGGGGGCCCCCCTGGGGGGCCTCCTGGGGGGCCCCCTCTAGCGAATAGTGAGGGGAGGGGGTCCCCTCACGGCCTGAGTTGTTTTCTTGCATGCACTGTCTGCTGCGGACCCGCTGCAGCTGCTGCTGCAGCTGCTGCAGCTGCTGCGCTGCTGCATGCAGGCCCACGCTCCCTGCAGCAGGCGCTGCTCTGGGGGACAGAACCGCTGGGTCCAAAAGACTCCGCTGCTGCTGCTGTTGCTGCTGCTGCTGCTGCTGCACCTGTTCCTGTTGCTGCAATCGCTGTGCTTGCAGCAACAGCTGCTGTTGCTGCTGCAGGTGCAGCTGTT